CTATTCATTCACAGATTTACAGTCTCGATCGCTCAATCAAACCGATCGACTCATCAACCCAGACAAAGCAGTTTATGCGGGCCAACAAACTCCGAACAATCAATAAAAACGGAACACCTCCTACCAATTCTCAACGGGAAAGAACTATCCTTCCTGGTTTGGCAGAATGAAAGTCCAATTGCGTGGCAAGGATCTCTGGTCGGTTTGCGTCACACCTCCGGCTGATCCACTCACTTCGACACCTGTCTCAGCATCGACGATCACTGCAAACACTACTGCAAGTGATCGAGCGGTATCGATCATTGTACCTCGTCTCAGTCAACGATGCTACAATGAGTGCGTCAACAGCATCACTATCGACAGTGCCTATCTACTCTGGAAGAAGATTGCCGACCAGTACGCCTCAAGAACCGTCATCAATCAAGGACGTGTTTATATGACATGGTCCGCTCTGTTGTATAAAGGCGATCTTCAAGAATACATTGATGACACCAGAGCCTGTTTGATCGATATCGACGCTGTAGGCATTAACGTTCCCGTCAAAGTGATCGCCTATCTTATTCTCGGCAAACTTATGAATCAAGATTTGGATCAAATCGTAGATAAGTTGGCTCTCGATGAAAAGGTTATTTCTGATCCTTATGCTGTTCTGAATGAGCTGCAGACCTATCAAACACATAAATTCGCCAAACCCGACAAGGGAACTGCCCTTTACACTTCCGTCCCGACTTCGTCAAAAACCCCTGTTGATCGAAAATCAAAGTTCCCGACTAAAATTCTTCACTTCTGTGGTTTCGGAGAACATAATCCCGAATCTAATCATCCTGAAAATCGTTGTCACAAAAAATATCCAGAACTGAAGGACTCTTCGAAATCCAGAAAAAATCCCAGTGCCAGCTTCGCTCATGCTTCGGCCTTCGTTACCTATGTCCTTCCTCAGTCATCAAATTCTTTCATCATTGACTCCGCAGCCTCTCATCATATGATTCGTGATCGATCGCTTTTCACCTCCTTCAAGGCGCAGAAGATCACCATCAACACCGGAAATCCTCTATCTCCTCTCATCGCTGAAGGGCACGGATCAGTATCCCTTCTTATCAATGACAGAGAATTAATCCTATCTGAATGCCTGTTGATTCCAAATATCTCTCAACAGCTCATCTCCTTGGTTCGATTGATAAATGACTCCGTCACCATCAAGAAGGACGGTAGCAAATTCACAATTGTTGACTCAACCGGAATCTTGTTCTCGGGACAAATCATCGATAACCTCCTTCACTCTTCGTACTCCAATCACCCCTCAGCACACTTCAGTAAGAAGATTGATGATAGTCATGAAGTTTGGCATCAACGGCTGGGTCATCCCAGCGACTCAGTCATGAAACAAATGAATCTCCCCAACTCGACTGGATTGAAGACTTGCAAGGTGTGTGTCTGCTCCAAGATGACTCTTTCTCCCTTCTCAAGTCATTTTCAACCTGTCCATTCTCCTCTTCAAAGACTCCATATGGACCTTGTTGGTCCAATCAAGCCATCCTCGGTGTCTGGTTTCAATTATTTTCTCTCAATTGTCGATCAATTCTCATCATTTAAATTCGTCCGATTCCTGAAAGCAAAATCTGACACTCTTAACATTGTAAAATCATTTATCAAGGAGGTCGAGAATTCTCAAGATAGCCGCGTCAAGGAAATCGTCTCAGATAATGGAGGCGAGTTCACCAGTCGACTTTTCAAAGATTTTACAGAAAGTCAAGGCATCAAGCATATTTTTTCGCCTCCTGAGACTCCTGAACATAACGGATTTGCTGAACGCGCAAATCGCACGATTCTTGATAAAGCTCGCGCACTGATGCTGACCAGCAACTTGCCAAGAAACTACTGGGCTGAAGCTGTCAATACGTCGACGTTTGTCTCAAATCTTCTATCAACTCCTTCCCGTTCAAACTTCTCCCCATATGAACTGTGGACTAAAATCTCTCCACCGATTCATCGCATTAGGACCTTTGGATGCAAGGCATATATCTGCGTCCCGAAATCTCACCGCTCTTGGAAACTTGGGAAAACAGCTGAAGTGGGTATTTTGGTTGGATTTGAAAATGAGGGGACTGTTTTCAGAATCTTACGACTGAGTGACAAGAAACTGATCAGAACGCGACACGCTCTGTTTGATGAATCATCTTTCCCAAAGTTTTCGGAAGAATTCGTGCCTTCTGCGGTGGAAGAATCTTTCAACATCTTCACCGACTCTTTTGATGAAGATAGTGATGAAGACGAAGGGGCGTCAACTCCAGTACAACCCAATGAATCTTGTCCAACGACTCAGACTTCATCTCCTGTCATTCCGGCGGTAGAGCAATCAAGCGCTGCTTCTAAGCGTATTGTCGGTGATGTCTCATCGGCTAATATACTCTCGACCAAACGGGTCAGAAAACCGGCTGCCTTTCATACTGTGGCCGAGCTTGATATCCCTGCTCACTACCACCGCGCAATTAACTGCGCGGAGGCAAAGTCCTGGGATGCTGCGATCAAGAAGGAGCTTGATGCTATGGCTAACCTAAATGTTTGGTCTGTGGTACCTCTGACACCGGACATCAAAACAGTTGGCACTACCTGGGTCTTCAAGAAGAAAACAGGTGATAACGATGTCACCTTTAAAGCCAGGTTATGTGCGCAAGGTTTTTCACAAACTCACGGTATCGACTTCTCTAAAACTTTTGCGCCAACCGGGCGTCTCAATTCACTTCGGGCATTGATCTCCTTCGCAGCTGCCAATGATCTCGACTTTCAGCAACTCGATGTCAAAACAGTGTTCTTAAACGCCGACTTGAATGAGGACGTCCATCTCTCTGTACCTCAAGGTGTGTCACTTGATAAGAAAAAAGTTTGCCTCAAGTTAAACAAGGCAATCTATGGTCTTAAACAAGCACCACTCGCGTGGTACAATCGTCTATCAACCTGGTTGCTTAAAGTCGGCTTCGCTATTTCGGTTGCCGATCCCTGTGTTTTCTATCGGCTAGGCGATAATCCTGTCTGGCTCTTCATCCATGTGGATGACATTGCTGTTTTCGGCAAGGATATCTCAACTTTCAAATCAGAAATCAAGGCTGAATTCGACATGAAAGACATGGGCCGAGCTGATCTCTTATTGGGAATCAAAGTACTTCATGAACCGTCGGCTATTGTTCTCTCCCAACTTCACTATGTCAACTCCCTGCTTTCTCTGTACGGCATGACCGCCTGTCGATCGGTCGCAACTCCTTTGATCCCAAATACTCAGCTGGATCGCGCTACGACTGAGGAAATAGATCGCTTTCAACTCCCTCGGTGTTAACTATCGAAGCGCGGTTGGAGAACCTAGCTATCTCCAGTCTGCTACGCGACCGATATGCACATGCTGTCAGTCACTATCGCAATTCTTGAATCCCCGGAATACTCACTGGGAGGCATTCACGCACGTATTGCGATATCTATCTGGAACTCCGGACCATGCTCTTGTCTACCGTCGAGGCTGCTCTAGCCCGCTCGAGGGTTACACTGATGCTGACTGGGGCAACTGCCCAGCGACTCGTCGATCGGTCACTGGGTATCTATCTCTCTTCAATGGCCACCTGATTGGTTGGCAAACTAAAAAACAACCTGTGGTATCGCTTTCATCGTGTGAAGCTGAATATCGTGCTCTTACCGATTTCTCATGTGAACTCTTGTGGATTCGTCAACTGATTGTTGAAATTGGTCTGGGTGACTCGTTGCTTCCTACGATTGTCCATGAAGACAATCAAGGATGCATAGCTGTAGCCAATTTCGATGCGAATTCAAACTCGAAACGGATGAAGCACGTTGAAATTCAACTGCACTTCATACGAGATGTGATAAAAACCAAGAAGATTGTTCTCAAGTACACTCCAACAAACAAAATGCTGGCTGATTTTCTAACGAAAGCCGTTCCGCGCCCAGCACTTGTGAAATCGCTTCTTGCTTTAGGACTGTTTCGTCTTGAGGTAAGGGGGGGTGTCGAGGTGTGAGCTCCGTAGCTCTAGACCACCTGGTACCCAAGATCAAAACACCTATGACATCATCCTGGCCTGAACTCTGAAATCGGTCAAAGCTTCTGCAATGACATCATTGCGCTTGAACCTTCTCCCTTGTTCTCGCTTCCTTTATCATCCTCCCTCTTTCGTGAACCAATGTTCTTTCTCCTCAGTACTCCATCTCATACATTCCTCCACTATCGAACTTCTTATTTGATCGTGTTATAAATCCTTACTTCCCAAATCGTTACTTATTTCCATCGCTTCAGTAAGACGAACATCTCTACTTCCCTCGCCGTCTTCCTCCCGCTCTCGAACTTCATTCT